GGAGCATCCCTGCTCATCCCACCCCACACATCCCTTCCCAATGCATCCCTCCTCACCCCATACACCCCCACCAGCTCTGCCCGGGCCCTGCAGCCCCTGCCCCTCCTGACGCCCCCCGTCTCCTTCCCCAGTGCCCTACAAATTCTTCTCGGACCCGTCGGGCATCAACGAGAAGCGGAAGCAGCGGCGCATCCGCACCACGTTCACCAGCTCGCAGCTCAAGGAGCTGGAGCGCGTCTTCGCCGAGACCCACTACCCCGACATCTACACGCGCGAGGAGCTCGCGCTCAAGATCGACCTCACCGAGGCCCGCGTGCAGGTGGGAGGCCGCTCTGTCCCCCCGGAACGGGGCTATTTTGGGGGGACGGATGGGGATCCGGCACCCAGAGCTGTGTCCAAGCCAGTGGGTTAATCCGCATCCCAGTGGTGCCGGCGGCACCGTGGGCACCGCTTGGGGGGTGCCCCGGATCCTGCTCCGAAGGCTCCGCTGGCTCCGGGACACGCGGAGGGAGGAGAGTGGGTGGCTGCAGAGGACGGACGCGCTGGGTGCACCCCCATGGGGCTGCACCCCATAGGGCAATTCCAAAGGGAAGGGGAGCCACGGGAATGTGGGGGGGTGCTGAGCCAGGCAGGGAGGGGTGCACGGGGTTGTCCTGGGGTGCATGGGGCTGTGCTGGGGTGCCCAGGACCATGCTGGGATCATGAGGATGTGCTGGGGTGCACGGGGTTGTGCTGGGGTGCAGGGGGGTGTAATGGGGTGCACGGTGCTGTTCTGGGGTGCACAAAGCTCTACTGGGGTGCATGGGTCCATGCTGGGGTGCATGGGACTGTGCCAGGATGCATGGGGCTGAATGGGGTACACGGGGCTGTATTGAGGTGCATGGGGCTCTATCGGGGTGCATGGGGCTCTATCGGGGTGCATGGGGTTGTACTGGGGTGCACGGTGCTGTTCTGGGATGCACAAAGCTCTACTGGGGTGCATGGATTCATTTTAGGGTGTGCGGGGCTGTATCGGGGTGCATGGTGCTGTGTCGGGTGCATGGGGCTGTGTTGGGGTTCATGATGCTGTTCTCGGGTGCACAAAGCTTTGTGGGGGTGAATGGGTCCATGTTGGGGTGCACGGGGCTGTGCCAGGATGCACAAGACTGTATTGAGGTGCATGGGGCTGTGCCAGGATGCATTGGGCTGTATCGGGGTGCATGGGGCTGTGTTGGGTGCATGGGGTTGTTCTGGGGTGCACAGGGCTGTGCTAGGGTGAATGGTTCTGTACTGGGGTGCACGAGGCTCTACTGGGGTGCATGGGTCCATGCTGGGGTGCACGGTCCATTTTGGGGTGCACGGGCTGCAGCGGGGCTCGGAGCAGCAGATGCAGCACAGGGACGGTCTGGGATCGGAGCAGGGACGCGCTGGGTGCAGAAACCACCCCGGGATCCCGCTCCGGGGTTGGGATTTGCCGCCGTTGGGAGCCCCCCGCCGCCCGGGAGCGCTTCCCACCGGAGCTCCGGCCGCTTCCCGCCGGATCCGCGCTGGGCGCCGGGCCCGGCGCTCACCCGCTCCCCACGCAGGTCTGGTTCCAGAACCGGCGCGCCAAGTTCCGCAAGCAGGAGCGCGCCGCCAACGCCAAGGGCGCCGCCGGCACCACCGGCACGAGCGCCGGCAAGAAGCCGGAGCCGCGCTCCTCGTCCGAGGACGACGAGGCCAAGGAGTCTCCGTGCAGCGCCACGCCGGACAGCACGGCCTCGCTGCCGCCCGCCGGCGGCCTGGGCAGCCCGGGGGGCAGCCTGAGCCCCAGCCCCGGCGCGGCGCCCCCGATGCCCCCCGGCCTCCCCGCGCCGCCCCTCAAGGCGCCCGCCTGGCCCGGTGCCGCCGGTACCGGCGCCGCCGCCGAGCTGCTCAAGGCCTGGCAGCCGGCCGAGCCCGCGCCCGCGCCCGGGCCCTTCTCGGGCGTCCTCTCCTCCTTCCACCGCAAGCCCGGCGGCCTCAAGAGCAACCTCTTCTGATGCGGCGGCTGCAGCGGCACGGCGCCGGGCCCCCCGGTGTGCACCGAGCCCGGGGGCTGCTCCGCTGCCTGCACCGGGTCTGGATGCTGCACCAAACCTGGGTGCTGCCCCGCTGCCTGCACCAGTTCTGGACACCACATTGAGTCCCGGTGTTGCCCCGCTGCTTGCACCGGTTCTGGACACCACACCGCACTGAGCCCAGGTGCTGCCCTGCTTCTTGCACCGGTTCTGGACACCACACCAAGCCTGGGTGCTGCCCCGCTGCTTGCACCGGTTCTGGACACCACATTGAGCCTGGGTGCTGCCCTGCTTCTTGCACCGGTTCTGGACACCACACCAGTGCTGCTTGCACCGGTTCTGGACGCCGCACCGAGCCTGGGTGCTGCCCTGCTTCTTGCACCGGTTCTGGACACCACATTGAACCTCGGTGATGCCCCGCTGCTTGCATCAGTTCTGGACACCACACCGGTGCTGCTTGCATCGGTTCTGGACACCGCAC